CACCCCTCGGGACGGGGCCGTGGGAGTCCGCGGGCCTGTGCGGGTTCCTCCTCCGGGCGCCCCGGGCCCGAGCACGTCGTCGTCTTAGCTGGTCTGGGGGAGACCCCTTCCTGGTGCACCGTTTCCCAAACGGTGCTTGACCCCGCCGCCTTGCAGAAGGAGTGTCTCCCCGCAGAGGTGGGACGTTTGGAGCGTTGTCTAGCCTGCCTTGGACCGAGAAAACGGGATGGAAAGCAATGTGGCTTCACGATATAAAAAAAAAAAAAAAAGTCCCTTCCGAATTGTTTCTGTGTGTGTGTATTCTGAAATGTATCTCATTGACTTGTTAGGTGATTATCCAGGGTTTCCGAAGTTACCGAGATCAAACCATTGTAGATCCCTTCAGCTCAAAACATAATGTTATTGGTAAGTGTTCCTTGTTTTCTAGGTCAGATTTCTATATGCTGCCCAATATAAATGCTTGCCATTGGCTTGCCTTTGAATTCTGCGCATATTTTATCTGGCCACCCCTCCCCCCCAATAGAATATTTTGTCCTTTATCTGCAATGATGAATTGCTTCTTTTTTAAATGTAAAATGTTTGCAATAAGGCAATAGCAAGCTACTCTTTGTTATTTGAGTAACCTTGTTTGTGTGAAGGTGGGTTTTAGTAGCAGAGAAAAGTGCTTTTTAAATGTATAGTGAATGGCACTCAATTCGGTGTTTGAGCTATACTGTTCTTGACATCTATCCCAGATTGCTTTAACAGATGCTCTTTCTTCTTTCTTTTTTTTTTTTCTCTTTTTTAACATTTTATTAGGGGCTCATACAACTGTTATCCCAATCCATAACATGCTCTTTCTTTGGTCTTAAATTAGATTGTTCTCAGTTTTTCTTGTCATTCTGTTCTAAGGTCAACACAGCTTGTTGGGCAGAGCATATATTTTGGAGCAAAACAGAAGGTTCAAATTCTTGTGAGAAGCTTCGGTTTTCTCATTTGTAAAGTGGAGCTACTGCTGTCCTTTTTGTTGGGCTGTTGGGAAGATTAAATGTGAAAGCGTATGGAGTGTAAGGGGGAAAAAACCTAAATAGTGGTTGCTGTGAAACAGTTTTTAGTGTTCAGATTAAGTGTCCTTTTTGCTGAAACAGCCAACCAAGGTATTTTCTGACTCTGCTGAAATCTTTAAGGATAAATGAAATGAGTGCTTTTGAACACAAGCTGTGAACAATAGGACTCTGGTACAGCCTCCTCACTGGTGAGAGTCATGAGACAATCAGGAGAGTACACATTCAGTGGTAATGTTTCCAGAAGACCCTTACCCATACTTCCTTCATTTTGTGTAAAGGTTTCGTCTGCATGTTGCCACCTTGTAGTAGATTATCCTTTTCTTCTTTTTCCAGATACTTAAAATTTTAAAGTTAGTTCCCCTGAAATGAGGTGCTATGAAAGTAGCTTGATTTTACTAGATTTTGCTTCCATTTTAATTACAGGTGTTTTCTGATTTTCATCCATCAGAGAATTTCTAGAAATAGAGAAAAGGAACAATTATTAGATGTATGTTATTTATTTTATAAGATAAAAGTTAATATTTTGGTATTTCAGCTGTATGGTTGTTGTTTTTAATTTTATTGGGGCTCATACAATTCATCACAATACATAGATCAATTGTGTAAAGCACACCTATACATTTGTTGCCCTCATCATTCCCAAAATTCGCTTGCCTCTTGGGTTCCCGGAATCAGCTCATTTTCCTTTTTTCCCCCTCCCTCATGAACCCTTAATTTATAAATTATTACTTTATCTTACACTGCCCAGCGTCTCCCTTCACCCACCCCTCTGCTGCCCATCTCCCAGAGAGGAGGTTATATGTAGATCCGTGTGATCAATTCCCCCTTTCTACGCCCCCCTTCCCTGCTGCTATCGCCACTGTCACCCCTGGTCCTGAGGGGTTCATCTCTCTTAGATTCCCTGCGCTTCCAATGCCCATCTGTACCACTGTGCATCCTCTGGTCTAACCAGGTTTGCAAGGCAGAATTGGGGTCATGGTAGTTGGGGGGAGGAAGTGTTTAAGAACTAGAGGAAGGTTGTGGGTTTCATTATTGCTATACTGAACATTAAGTGACTCATCTCCCCACTAGCCCTCTGCAAGTTATGTCTAATTTCTAGAGATGGGCATTGGGTCCCCATCACATGCCACCCTCATTGACGATAGGATCATATCCCTCCCGCCTTTGGTGTTTGAAGCCTGGTCCCTTCGGCCCTTCATGATCACACATGGTGTGCTGCTTCCATGTGGGCTTTGTTGCTTCTGGGCTAAATGGCTGCTTGTTTACTTTCAAGCCTTTAAAAAGTCCCCAGACGCGATAGCCAGGCACCATCAGCCTTCTTCACCACACTTACTTATGCACACATTCGTCTTCTCAGCTGTATGGTTTTACAAATGATCTGTGAAATGACCATTATTCATTTAGAATGATTAAATTATTTCTGTTTCACTGCCACCAAGTCCACTCATAGTGACCTCCCTGTGGGTTTCCTAGACAGTAAACTACCAGATTGGAAAGCCTGTCTTTCCCTGAAGGAGTGGCTGGTGGTTTCGAACTGTCAACCATTCAGCTCATCACAGACTATTATATACCTTACATAAGTCTATAGTCTACTTCTGTAGAGTGGAGAAGTTGCAAAAAAAGAGGAAGACCATGAATGGGGTGGATGGTGTGGCATGGCTGTAACAGTAGGCTCAAATTTAGTATAAGACTGGGCATGCTTTGTTCTGTTGTACATTGGGGTACTGTGATTCCAAACTGAAGTCTGTTATTATTTTAGCTGTTAGCAAATAGCTGTTTGTTGTTTTTTAAACTTCATATATATATAATTTTATTGGAGGCTCTTACAGCTCTTAACAATCTGTACATCAGTCGTATCAAGCACGTTTGTACATATGTTGCCATCATCAATTTCAAAACATTTTCTTTCTATTTGAGCCCTTGGTATCAGCTCCTTTCCCCCCCCCTCACACTCCTACCCTTGTAACCCCTTAATAAATTATAATTTATTATTTTCATATTCACTGTCTCCCTTCACCCACATTTCTGTTGCTCCTCCCCCTGGAGGGAGTAGATGTTATACGTCAATCATTGTGATCCGGTTCCCCCTTTCTCCCGCCACCTTCCCTGTCTGCTACCGTGATACTTAACATATCCCCCCACTATCATGACTCCAATTCTACCTTACAAATCTGGCTAGACCAGAGCATGTACACGGTACAGATAAGAGCTCTCGACACACAGAATCTAGAACAGAAACCTCTTAGGAACAATAATGGGAGTATCGCTAGCCGACAGACATTGGGCCTCTATTCAAGTCCTCCCTCAATGCAAGAACACTTTGTTCTAATAACCTTGCATTCTGTGATGCTCACCTTCCCAACACAATCACTGAAGTAAAAATGGGTGCATAAGCAAATGTGGTGAAGAAAGCTGATGGTGCCCAGCTAATACAAGATAAAAGTGTCTGGGGTCTCAAATACTTGAAGTTAAACAAGTGGGCATCTAGCAGGGAAGTAACAAAGCCCACATGGAAGAAGCACACCAGCCTGTGTGATCATGAGGTGTATATGGGATCAGGTGTCAGGCATCAGGAGATCCAAAACTAACCTATCGATTTGAACGAGGGGGGTCAGAGGGGAGACCCAAAGTCCATTTGTAAACAATGGGACATCCCCTCACAGAGAGTCACAAGGAAAGGATGAGCCAGCCAGGGTGCAGTATAGCAGTGACAAAACGTACATTCCTCTAGTTTTTTTAACTTTTTATTGTGAGTTGGGTGAAAGTTTGGAGCAAATTGGATTTCCTTTGAAAATTCAAACTCATTGTAATTCCTGATAATTGTAATTCCCACAGTACAACAGCACTCTTCTAGTTTCTTGTTTATATAATCCTCCTTTCCTATTCCTTCTTATTTCGAGCTTTATTCTTGGGCCGATAATGCCCTTTAAGTATCATATAATTGATTATTCTAAGGAGTGCGAGTTACTCCCTTGATGTTACTGTTCACCATGTAGCCTTGATATTGTTTGAAAGTTGAGACATGAGCGTTTCCTTCTAGACTTGGTGGATGACTAGGATCCCTTGTCTCAGCTCTAGTTTCAGAACGGTGAGGCTGATGTTTTTGATGATACTGAGTTTGTTCCACTCTATCCAGGACCTATTTGTGAAGCCCTTCAGAGAGGGCAGCAATGATAGCACTCTCTAGTTCTTATAGTTTAAGGGTCATGGAGGCTGGGGTTTGCATGGTCCCTTAGTCCTTTGGACTGTTTCCTTGTATCAGATTTTCTCCACTAGGGAGGAGAACATCAGAGAGCTGTTTCACTACAATGGTTACAACATGATCTTTGTCAAAAGTTACTTTTACGAAGGAAAAATTATGTAACAATTGTGTTGTTTTAACTAAAACCCTATACAGCTTTATTGGTTAAACTGCCTTAAACATGTAACATCTTAGCCAGATACTTTACTAATCCAAGAAAGACCAAAATTCTTATGTATTGATTCGCCCTAAAAATAATCTGATGAAAGCACACCACTTTAATTGTTAAATGATTTTGACCCTTAAGAAAAAAAGTCAGCAAGATTTGAAGAGACATGTCTCTATGCTGATCTTTGAGGATTTGGTACATGTACCAAACATGCAACTTTTTAAGTTATTGTATTTTCTTACTGTTAAAACAGTCACAACAAAAATACATGGTAATTATAGAACATTAAGGAAGAAAATTTAAAGGGTAGACCTACCCAGAGATAGTCATTCTTTTTTTTTTTTAACATTTTATTAGGGGCTCATACAACTGTTATCCCAATCCATACACACATCGATTGTGTAAAGCGCATTTGTACATCATTTTTTGAGCTATACATCTTAGCTTTGGATTCCTAGAAAATAGAGCCGGAGACAGGCTTAGCTGCCTAAGATTTAGTGGGAGGTGTAGTCTGAGGGCAAGAGGAGGGGGGGTGGGGAGTGTTTCCCAGAGCTGGTCATGGCTTAGAAAGAAAACACAGCTGGTCTGTGGTCATTTTGAGTAATTTCCAGATAGACTTTGAGACCTACCAGGCCTTGGAAAGGTCAGATGGGAGAGTGAGAAATTTGTCTGCTGGTCTGTCTCTCACTGATTCACAGATCTGACTTGAATGCATCCCTAGGGTAGCCAGAAATACTAGAGAACTAAAGATGTGCACTGATAGCCAAGACCTGTATTGGTATGAGTTTATCTGGCTCGCATATAAACAGCTTCTTGAATACTGTTCTGGTCTTTGTATACATCATAAATATGGGTTTTTAAAAAATAAATGCTTACAATGTAATATGTTAATTTTTCCTCCTTCATAATAAATATGTATTTTAAATGAATAAATCATTCTATTGGGGGCTCTTACAGCTCTTATAACAATACATCAATTGTATCAACCACATTTGTACTTTATGTTGCCATCATCATTTTCAAAACATTTTCTTTCTGCTTGAGCCCTTGGTATCAGCTCCCCTTTTTTCCCTCCCTCCCCCACCCTCTCACCCTCATGGACCCCTGATGAATTATAAGTTATTATAGTTTCATGTCTTATACCATCTACTGTCTCCTTTTGCCCATGTTTCTATTGCTCATCCCTGGTGATGGTGGTGAGGGACATTAATATGTCATTCACCTTCATAATAAATCTTGAACATATTTTTCCTTGTTGAATATTCACCATTATTTAAAATAGCTGCATTAGAGGAATTTTTAAAGGGAAATTTTAATTTTTTCAGTTACTTATAAGTGGGTTATTGTGTGAAATGTTTATATTTGTGTAGGGATAAGCTATCTTTTTAAAGTTATATGGAGATTTAAAAATGTAGGAAAGTACATAAATAACAATAAAGATAATACTTCTATATTATACCTTGATCAGTTATTATTTTCCCTGCTTGCTTTGTCATTTACACTTGCTCTCCTACTAATCTTTCTCTATGTGCACATAATACACATTTTTCTGCCTAAGAGTAAGTTATGTAGGGAGATTGGGGAGGGAGGGGAAAATATGAGCTGATACCAAATGCTCAAGTAGAAAGAAAATGTTTTGAGAATGATGATGGCAACAAATGTACAAATGTGCTTGACAAAATGGATGGATGGATTGTGTTAAGAGTTGTATGAGCCCCCAATAAAATGATTTTAAAAAAGAGTAAGTTTTATATATCATGGCCCTCAACCATTAATGATTTCAGGGTGTATTTTCTAAGAATAGATATTTTTGTACATAATCACAATGCAGTTTTCAACTTTAGTAAATTAAATGTTTGTAGTCTGTTGTCCATTACTGTTCCAGTAATGTTGACTGACCCAGAAATGTCTTTATAGATTTTTTTTTACACCTGCAGTACAGGATTTTTTTTTTTTTTTTAAATTTCCTGCAGTACAGGATTTAATGTAGGATCACATATTAGATTAATTGTCATATCTCCTTTAATTATTTCCTGTAGCACCTGGGTGGTGGAATGGTTAAGCTCACAACTAGCCCAAAAGCTGCCATTATGAACCAACCCAGGAACTACTTTGGGAGACAGGCATGACAGTGCTTTCAAAAGATCACAGCCTTGAAATCCTATAGAGCAGTTCTACTCTGTACACGTGGGCTGGCCACGATTCCCAGTCAACTCCAGGACAACACAACAATTATTTGCATAGTCTTTATCTTTGTTAACATTGTTATTTTGAAAAATTAGTGACGCCACTTATGTTCATCTACGCAAGGTGTCACCCAATTTCTCTACTGTGCAATGACTGGTTTTTCCCTTGTAACCATGAGCCATATAGGGAGATATTTTAGGACCATGCAAACGATAGGCTCCTCATTGGAATTTCATCAGGATTAGAATTCTTGTCCTTATTCTGATGGTTACTACACCGAACAGGTCTCCATTTCCAGTACTACTTACAGACTTAACAGTTAAAACTGAAAAACAAACAACACAACTCACTGCCCTGGGTCAATTCTGACTCATAGTGACCCTATAAGACAGAGTAGAACTACCCCTGGGGGGTTGTGCCACTGGTACTCTTATCAAGAGCAGAAACCTTGTCTTTTACCAGAGGAGCAGTTGGTGGTTTAGAACTGCTGGCCTCGTGGTTCGCAGCCCAGCCACTCTGGCTCCTATACTTAACGCTTGATATTTGGTATTTGATACTCTGCTGTAGGCAAGAATCCCCCTTCCTCCATGATTTTATTTCTAGTATGGAATCATGGATTATCTTTTCTCCCTCCCTCACGGATTTATGACTCATGACTGTTATTCTGATTCTCTAGTTGTTCCACATTTAGCCAGTGGAGTCCCCCCTTCAGACTGGCTCCTGTGTCTATTTATTGATTTATTTATTTATTGTTGCTTCCATACTGGCATAGCACAAATGATCTTTTTAGGAATTACTTTGCATTCCATGTGATTAATTAGAATAAAGTGCCCAAATTGTCCACCATCATGTAGTTAATAGAGAGAAGGACTTAGTTATTTATGATTATTAATTATGAAATGCAAACTTAACAAAATAAATCAAATACTTATTAAATCAGAAACTTGATATTCTTTTATGTATAGAATTGCTTATCTTAAAATCCAAGAGATTTTTTTAATGCCTTATAATTGTCTAGACTTGGTTCTTTAAAACTAAATGATATATAAGGATGATAATAGTTTATCAGGTGAGCAATTTGAGAATTTAGAATGCTACTTAATAGATTATTATTAGTATATGATTCTTTAATTATTTTATAGGGCGTGCTTACAGTTATACATTCCATAGTTCAATCACATTGAACAATGTTGTGAAATTGCTACCACAGTCTGTTTCAAAACATTTTCTTCTTGGGCTCCTTGATATCAACTGCCGTTTATCCCCTCCCTCCCCCACCCGACTCCCCAGGAACCCCTATATATATATAGCCGTATCTTACACCTCCAGTATGTGATTCTTTAAATTGTTAAAAATACTCTTCATATGTAAACTAGAATTGCATGTCCATCATAAGAATTGTAAATTATGAAAGTCAAATATAGTCATTTCTGTCAATTTTAAACAACTGGGAAAGAGCAAAAGGATTAACAAGAAGTTTCTTTTTAAAAAAAAATATATCAAATCTATAAAAAACTTGCTCATTTGGTGAGTAAAACTTCTGTTTATTGTTTTACGGAACCTAATATAATTTTGGTTACTGCTCGTATTTAATTTTAAATGTTAAGCCATATAGTAGAAAATTAGACATATAAATTGTTTTGTAGTTTTTATATTTTTTATTAAAAAATAACTCATATTTTTGAACATTTGTAGTGGGCAGAAATGGATCTGGAAAAAGTAACTTTTTTTATGGTATGTATTTTTTACAGTTTTTTAAAATAATGTTAAGAAGTAGGTAGTTTCAGTTAATGTACTAGAATCATTCATTTTCTGAGGTAATGTCTACATGAAACCTAAGAAATACTTCTTCACCTACAGGAACAGTTTTAGTGTAGAGATAAGGGTCTAAAGGGCTGAATTCTGTTCTGGGCCTAATGCCTATTGGGTATGGGAGAATAGGCAAAACACTTCACCTCTTTGATTATTTTTTTTCACTGTAGAAATGGGAATGTTTGCTATGTCTATCTTAGGTGGGTTGTGAGAATCAAATGAGATGTTATATATTAAAGTGTTTTTATAATCGGAATGCAGTATATAAATGTTATCTTTTATGTATTTCTAGCGATTCAGTTTGTTCTCAGTGATGAGTTTAGTCATCTTCGTCCAGAACAGCGGTTGGCTTTGTTGCACGTAAGTGAAACTGATTTAAGACATTGTAATTATGTACATATGTTAAAAGAAGTATACCATCAGTCCCAGAGGGCCAAATAATTTATTCAAGCCTATCATGTATTATTGTGCTGCAAAATTAGGCTATTATATTAATGTAATGAAGCCCTTGTGACATTAACTTGACTGTTAACCAAACGTTCATTCCCACCAGCTGCTCCACTGGAGAAAAGACCTGACAATTTGCTCTTACAAAGATTCCAGCCTAGGAAGCCAGTAGAACAGTTCTACCTGCTGCTATGAGTTAGAATCAGCAGCACGGAACAAGCAGCGTATTATATAGGAGTTTCTGGCTGGTATAAATTGTTAGTCCTTCGCGGTTAACCAGAGGTTGAAAATTCAGATCCAACCTGTTGGAACACCTTGACAAGGTGTTTCCATTAAAGTCATTTAAAACCCTTTAGAGCAGAGTTCTACTCTTAAGGCACAGAAGACTAGTCCTGAAGACTAGCTGTTGGGTGTGAATCACTGACTTGGTTAACAGTCCAGTGCTTATCTGTCAGTACTCCTTTTTTAAAGCAATAAAGAACCATCTTAAATGTTAAAAAAAAAATCTTGAGTTCCAGTAATTTTCACTTGATTATCTAGAACTCCATTTAATCATTCAAGGAGTCCTGGTAGTGTAGTGGTTACATATTGAGCTGCTAATGCAAGGTCAGCAGTTTGAAACCACCAGCCCTTCTGCGGGAGCAAGAAGAGGCTTTCTACTCCCCTAAACAGTTACAGTCTTGGAAACCCACAGAGGCAGTTCTACTTTGCCCTATAGGGCTGCCATGAGTCAGAATGGGCTTGACAGCAGTGAGTCAATGGTGGCCTGGGGGTTATGCATTGGGTTGCTAACTGCTAGGTGAATTCAAAACCATCTGCCACTCCAGAGGAGAAAAAGGGGGCTTTCTACACTGGCAGAGTTGCAGTCTTGGAAACTCACAAGCACAGTTCTAGCCTGTTCTGTGAGGTCGCTGTGAATCAGCATCAACTTGATGGCTGTGAAGTTTTGGTCTTTGTGATCCACTCTCACTGCCATGGACTTAGGTCAGCTCAGCAGCCTTACATGACCAGGTAGAACGGTCCTGGTGGGTTCTTGAGATTGTAAACCTTTATGGGAGTAGAAAGTCTTATCTTTTCCCTCAGAGCAGCTGGTGGTTTCAACTACGAGTGACTTCATGAAAAAGGAACCCTCGAGGTGTTTTAGGTATTAGTTAGCAAATAGAATTAGACTGTGCTGAGCCAAGTGGCCTGCTAAGCAAGACCTTAAAGTTTACTGTATCTGCTGTTGGGCAAGCTTGCTTTATACTAACCCGTGAGAAAGTTTGTCCATAAAATGAGGCTTATTAACGTGCACTAAATTTTAAATGTGCTTAAAGAATATGAAAATACCATTTATGTGGAAAATTTGCTTTTGTTCCTATGCTTTAGGAGGGTACTGGTCCTCGTGTTATTTCTGCATTTGTGGAGATTATTTTTGACAATTCGGACAACCGATTACCAGTGAGTTTATTTTTTTTCTTTTGTAATATTCAGAGTTTAATTGATGAATTTAATTGTTTTCATCTTCCAAAATAATTTTTATTGGTACATTAACTTACATTAAGATGATTATACAGTTTGCATACTGATTTTGTCTTAAAACATTTTGAGGGAAAAAACATTTAGGAAAACCACAGATTGGAATTTGTAAGCTGTTTTGAAAAAATGTCTCATGGGAATTGAGTGTTCATAGCATACTTTGTGAGATAATTGACATTTTTAAAGCAAGAAAACTTAATGGCCAGGAAACTTAAAATGACCTTAGTAACTAAAATGTTTCTTAATTTCACTATTAACTTTATGCTTTTAAATATTTTATTAGATTGATAAAGAGGAAGTCTCACTTAGAAGAGTAATTGGTGCCAAAAAGGATCAGTATTTCTTAGATAAGAAAATGGTCACGTAAGCATTTTTCTTCATGTTTACTTTTTTATTTGCTTTATTTATTTATTTATTTTGTATGTCCATGAAAGAGCTTTATATCAAGAAGTAATTACATACCAAGAAAGATCCTAGCCCAGTCCAACCTCAAGTCCAATGCTAGTCCATAAATCCATCTTCAGAGGTAGGAAGATCACAGGCTGGTGGGTACAAAGTGGGTCCAAAGTTGGTGAAAACCTGGCAGGGCGCTAGCAGCTCTCAGTGTCGGTGGTAGAGTCCCAGCAACCAGGAAGACAAAGGGGCAGAGAGAGGGAGTTTCCCAGTCCCACCATCACCCCCAAAGAGGCAGTGTGATCTGATTGCCAGGTTGGATTCCACCCTACACTTTCTTACATCTTCAAGTTGAGACACTAGAGCATCTGACTACATCGTTCTGGACTCAGGTCCATGGAGACGGGCCGGTGTGGTCCATTAGTCTCTTGGACTAATGCTTCCTTGAGTCTTTGGTCTTCTTCAGTCTTCTTTGCTCTCAGCCCAGCTTGGTGGTCCACGTGGAGACGGGGAAGGGAACAAAGGAGAGAGGACTGGAGAGGAGAGGGCGGGGAGAGAGTCAGAGAGGTCCAGGTCCGAGTCTGAGTCATGTTTACTTTTTTAACAGAAGGATTAATATGCTCTTTTACTTGCTTCATATTCAACAAGTCAGTATTTATAGCATAAATCTAAGAATCAGATTTTAAGGATGACGTCAAATAGTTTAATGACTAATGTACTTTCCAATGAACAAGAACTGACTATTCATATTTGGCTCATTAATGGATGCTTTAAAATTATTTACCTAACAGAAGAATTTCATTGTTTCTCCACAGGAAAAATGATGTGATGAATCTCCTTGAAAGTGCTGGTTTTTCTAGAAGCAATCCTTATTATATTGTTAAACAAGGAAAGGTATAAAACAAACTGTACCCTTTCTTATAGATTTGGTTACAGAGTACTGTACATACTCGAGTATAAGCCGACCTGAATATCAGCCGAGGCACCTAATTTTACCACAAAAACTGCATTAAAAATGTGCTGGGGGGTGAGGGGGATGTACTGGAAAAACTCGGCTTATACTTGAGTATATCGGTATATTCTTCACAAGGATAATGACTTTGGTTTATTGATTGTATTCTCAAAACTCACTACCATCCAGTCAATACTGATACACAGCGACCCACCCCCTGTGGCTTTCTGAGACTAACTTTATGGAGTAGAAAGCCAGTCTTTCTCCTGTGGAGCTGCTGGTAGTTTCAAACTGCCGACCAGGCAGGTGTCGTCAGCCTAACATGTAATCACCACACCACCAGTGATTATAGTGGTTAAATTACAGCAAAAATAGGCCTTATTTAAAAAAAATTTTTTTGTTGTTGTTGTTGCAGTAAGCACCAAGCTTTATATGGCTATAAAGTATCTCAGAAACTCGGGTTGCTGTAAATCCAAATTGACTTGATGGAAATGGGTTTCCTTTTGGTTAGTTTCATGTATTATTAAATTTAATGCTATTTCCTTTTGTAAGAATTTTTTTTATCTGTATTTAGAACACACCACTTGTATACTTACTCTCCCTGCTGCCGCCATATTTCCTGATCTCCTTATATATTGCTTCTCTCTTCACCTAAGTGTACACATGTCTACTCTTCAGCCAATACTGTACCCTCTCTCCCTCCTATTCCTGGTAATCGCCAAAGTGTTATACTTTATATGCTATTATATATGAATTTTTTTTTAATGTCAGTGACATTTTCACCTTTTTAAAAATTCCTTGTTCTTTCAAATTGAACTCCTTTATACTTTATTATATTGAGTAAGAAAAGTGTTAGTCTGAGGTATTTTTTCATTTGTAAGTTTTTCAGAAAAGAGGCTTATGAATATATCAATTCTACTTTAGTCTTACCTGATATATTTCATATAAGTAGGAGAGCTATAGTAGGTATATAATATACAAATCAGTCCATTCATAATTAAAGAAAGAATCTATTAAGCATAAAGAGGCTAACATATGAATATATGTATTAGAAAGCCTCTTAAGGTATACTCTTTTTCTAAAGCACTTCTATAACTCTTCCTTGATGCCAACTTACAGCAATCCCGTAGGGCAGGTTAGGAATTCCTGGGTTAATCTGGGTTGACTTGAGAAACAAATTCATAGACATTCATGTGTGTATTAAGAAAGAGCTTTCTATAAAAGAGCAATTGTGTATTGAGAAAACATCCCAGCCTAGTCCAGATAAAGTCCATAAGTCCAATATTAGCCCATATGTCCGATACCAGTCTATAAATTCCTCTTCAACACATGCAATGACGCCGAATGCAGGAAGATCACAGGCCAGTGGGTGGAAAGTCTTGTGGATCCAGTGGTGGTGGAAGCATCTCCGTGCTGGCACATGTGGCTCTTCCAGGTCCCAGGTTCTGGTTCCATCAGTGTAGCTCCATGTGGTTGTCAACAGGAATATGGAAACAGAAAGAGAGTGTGTCCTGCCTCCAGGGAGGAAGATAGGAGTTCCCAGAATCCTCTGGAGAAGGCCATGCTTACACAGGCCATGGCTGTGACCTGATTGACAGGCTAGACTCCACCCCTTTGCAAGTTGACAGGAGATTATGTAACTGCCACAGACCACCCCTTCTCAACTTGACACTTTTACACAACTCTTTAGCGATACATAATTTTTAATAAAACAATAATAAAAATCATATCTGTACCTAACAGGATAAAACTAAAATACATACAATTCAATATGTGCCAAAGCCTTATTTAAACATACTGGTCTATAAGTGAACACAATATTCTGTGCCTAACAGTTGCAGTTAAATAACACCTACACTTTAATCCTATGAATATATTCCCCCACCTGTGAAAGTTTGTAAACCAGCCACTTCATGCCTTTACCCACCCAATTTTGGGTATCCGGTTTCTATACTGCCCGCTTACATTAACCCAGTGCTCTGAGGAGACAGTCATAGTCTTTGATATGAAGAATCTTCTTTCCAGTTGGAACCTTGTGAAGTCCACATCCATAAGCAAAGTCAAATTATGACAGGCCATCCGTAAAGTCAGCAGCAATATGCACCAGTTCGCAGGTTCAGATATCGTCGTCTGGTCAGGTTCCGGTCAATTCAGTGTGGCCCACTTCACAGTCACTAGGGTGCCCATTGGTCGCCTCACCTTTAAACCATGGGTACAGTCACAAATTCTCAACAACCCTTGCCACTTTGTGCTAAGTCATGAACTTCAGACAATCAATCGCTCTGTCGTCTCTAGTCTCTGAACCACCAAGTCCACGGGTGTTAGTAGCCAGACTCAATCTGTCTCTTTATTGCTGTATTTCTCTCTCGCCCACTCAACTAGTGGATTCAGGTGATCACCTAGCAAGATTTCAGTCTGCCCACAGACTCCCTTTAACATTCTGCCCCAGAGAGAAGTTTCTTTGCAGCTACAGATGTTATCCAGTTTCGAGCAATCCACTAGTTCTGAATTCAAAAATTTAAAGAGTTCCTTTTTTCTTCAATCTGTCAACAGCACCCTAGGCAGGTCTTGTCACCTTAGAATGTCCTAAGCACTCAAGACATTGGGTGGGGCTTATCCTTTTAGAGCCTTTGGAAGTGTGTCCTAACCCATTTAAATTCCAATTTACTGGTTGAAGGCATGTATCTTACACACTCTATTTTACCTCTCAATTTCTATCAATCATATTGATGATAAAAGGCAGAAGAAAACTGTATAAACCTAGTAGAGCCAGATCCTAAACTCAGTATTAAAACAAGCAAATTCTATCCTTATCTAAACATCCCATATGGCCTTACACCACTGGTGGCATTGCCTCAAGCCAGTACCAGACCTTCTGTCAGCCCTTTGGACTGTTTTGTTAGCCGTTTTCACTAGGCAGCATGGTCTCTTGAGAAATTCAAGGGGCGATTTCCTTCCCTGAGCTAAAAATATACATTAGTCATATTCCTTTTTACCATTTCAAACACAAATAACCAAAGACAACAACCAAACAAAATAATCAAAACTTTAGCTTCCCGTATTCTTTCCCGAAAACAACACGGCCAACTGCATGGCCATGTATCACCTCTGGCTAGCCAAAGAAGAAAAACTACATGAGGCAGAAGTCAAACAAGCGTCCCCTCTCCATCTTCATGATTTCTTTCTCTAGTACCCCACTCCCAAGTACCATAATGTGTTAGTCTGGATGGACTAGAGAAACAAATCCAGGGAGGGAGACGGGAGTTCCCAGAATCCTCAGGAGAAGGCCATGCCCACACAGAGGCATTATTGGCTATGACCTGATTGACAGGCTAGACTCCAGCCTTTTGCAAGTTGGCAAGAGTAGGAAACCACCTCTTTCTCACAAAGAGCGTCCGGGGGCTTTGCAGCCCAATGCTTAACATTATGCCACTAGGACTCCTTTGTATAGATAGGCAATGATTATTTTTCTAAAATTTTTAGATCAACCAGATGGCAACAGCACCAGACTCTCAGAGACTAAAGCTATTAAGAGAAGTTGCTGGTACTAGAGTATATGATGAGCGAAAGGAAGAAAGCATCTCCTTAATGAAAGAAACAGGTAAAATGAATGTGATTATATCTTATACAGGTAAATTAACATGATTATAACTTACACCTATTTTTCACTTATTGACTATCTCATTATCCAATACTTCACATTTAGCATGGAAATAAGAAGTTTTTTGCACATTATTAACATAACACTTTAATAACTGAGTGGTGAGGCAAGAGTAACACTGGCTGTGATGGTTTAAGGTTAGCGTCACCTTGGCTGGGTCATGATTCTTAGTGATTGGACAGTTATATATTGGTGTAATCTGGCACTTGTTCAATGACATGGTCAGTTTCCATTTTGTGGTTTGATGTGTTTATCTTCTATTTCTGGTAGCATCAGTTTTCACCTAATGGCCTGGTCTTTGGAGTCTAATCACACCAATAAGTGATGAGTGGTGTATTTCTTTCTTATGCAAGTTACTTTGGTGTAACAGAGAAGTTCTTGGGAACAAATTAATTTGAAGTACTTAAAATTTGCGATTTCCATTCATCTCCTTGAATAAAGAAATGTAACAGAAAAGAATGGCTTTTACAAGTCCACTGTTTGAAGCCCCTTGCTTCCTCATCTTTGCTAGCGAGGACAACAAATTTGGATGTATTCCTTTTTTTTTTAATTGTTGGAATATCTATTGGTATTAAGTGTTAAGATACTTAGAGCAAGTCAATTTAAAAGTTTTAATTTAGAATCTTCATGAATACATTTATCATAGAAACTTTGCTCTTTAAGTCTTGTCTCATTTTTGGCTTATAATGGGTTCTAGGTTCAAAATCTGACTGACATTGTGATCTTTTGTATATGTGAAGTCTTCTCTCCTTTGTTTTGATGAGTAAAGGAACAAAGTAGCACTCTGGCTAGACTATAGTAGGTATTCATATTTGTCAGTGATCATTAGTGCTATTCTCAATAGACATCAAGAACTGGCAAAATTGACAGTGCATCATTTTTATTAATATTTTGAGAAGGCGTATTGGATTAAAACAGGAAAATCTTACCTCATGTAATAAAGGAATTATAAAATATGTTTAATTCATGGCTTATTGAAAAATATACTAGTAAATTACAAAAAATATTCAACTCCTTTCTCCCCATTTTTTTAAAGAGGGCAAGCGGGAAAAAATCAATGAATTATTAAAATACATCGAGGAGCGTTTACATACCTTAGAGGAAGAAAAAGAAGAGCTAGCTCAGTATCAGAAGTGGGATAAAATGAGACGAGCCCTGGAATATACCATTTACAATCAGGAACTTAACGAGACTCGTGCTAAACTCGATGAGGTAGATTATTTCTATTTACCACTTAAATCAGATTAATTTTATTTTTGAGTTAAAAAAATTGAACTTCTATCTGTGTTAATCTGTTTACTTGTGTATCTTTGTGGCTATCTAGCTGTGTGACTTTTTTTAACTATGTTAAATCCATGCTATATTTCAATGATTATTAAATAAAAATTTACCTGAATGAAATAGGTAATCCTTGTAATCCTTGAGGTTGTGCCTAAAATATATCTGAATGGTGGTGTCAGGCGGACCAATCTAAGAGGAAAACCTGCTTTATAGCTTCTTCGCTTTAAAAAACATTTTGGTAACTAGGATTATTGACTTTTGAATAACAACAAAACAGTTGTAGGTAATGGTAATACTTAGGGTTTTCTGTTTAAAGGGCTGAGGTGGTTTGAAAACAGCCCTGGTAGTGCAGTAGTTAATCAGACCCACAAGAGAGAGAGGTGGCTGTCTGCTTCTCTAAAGACGCCTCAGAAACCTCATGCAGCGCTTCTACTCTGCCCTACGGCGGCACAGTGAACTGGAACTCAGTGCCAATGGGTTTTTTGTGAAACCGTCTAAGTAAATGATTTTATAGTTTATTTTAACAGATATAGTAAAAATATTTTTAATATGTTTTAGAAATAGTAACGTGTTTTTGTTTTTGTTTTTTACTAGTAACATGTTTTATGGATTTTTTCCCCCACCCCTTAGCTTTCTGCTAAGCGAGAAACTAGTGGAGAAAAATCCAGGCAATTGAGAGATGCCCAGCAGGATGCCAGAGATAAAATGGAGGTAAGATTATAAATTAACCTGAGCCTAGCTTAAAATTTTTATTTCACCCTTATGTACCAGAATTCTAAAAAAGTAACCAGAGAGAGTCAGAGATTGAGAACTGGAAGACAGTACAGGCAGGCAGTTTCTGGCTTGCAGATCCATTCCTGGGTGTGTCTAATCCACATGTATAGTAAATTCCTACAAAGACAAATGATTCTTCCTTCAGAGTAAGAAAAAGCTCAACACGAAGGTAATTGTGATGAAGGATTTGTTGCTAGTAGAAACTAATCCTAACTGTTTGCCTAATGGCAAATTTACGCAACATTTGGAGAGCAAATAACAGTAGTAAATTGGAGGTACCTCACTCAGGAACTTAAAGGAGCCCTGGTGGTGTAGTAGTTAGACATTGGGCTGCAGTTTGAAACCAGCCGCCATTCTTAGGAGATAGACAGGCTGTATACTCCCGGAGAGAGTTGCAGTCTCGGAAACTCACAGGGAGAGTTCTATCCTGTCCTGTCCCGTTGATTTTTGGTTAAACCAGGAACTTACTGGAGTACTAAAAGTGCAATTGAAAGAAAAATGTATTAATGGCGTCATAATTCTGCTGATTGCATAACTATGACATTTTAAATAGGATATTGAACGCCAAGTTCGAGAACTGAAAACAAAAATTTCAGCCATGAAAGAAGAAAAGGAACAACTTAGTGCTGAGCGTCAAGAACAAATTAAGCAGAGGACCAAGTTGGAACTGAAAGCCAAGGATTTACAAGATGAATTGGCAGGCAATAGTGAACAAAGGGTAAGTAGGAACTTCAGAACACAGTCCTTTCTATGACAGGTGTGTGTCTCAATTTCTTTGTAAAAGATATGCTATGTTGAAATAAGTGGCACTAAAGTAGCAACTCGGTACTATCTTCATTTTTTAAAAAGTTAGTTTTGTGTAACAGGTTTCATTTTCTGAAACTTTTAAAAATGAACCATGTTAGAATTATAAATTAGGAAAACAGTACAAGCATATTGAATTTTTATTCATCTTGATTTATTCCAGAAACGCTTACTAAAAGAGAGGCAGAAGTTACTTGAAAAAATAGAAGAAAAGCAGAAAGAACTGGCCGAAACAGAACCTAAATTCAACAGTGTAAAAGAAAAAGAAGAGCGAGGCATTGCTAGGTCTGGGATGTCTCACCATTACTTTCTACATAATTCTTATATAGAGCTGATAAAATTATGAATTAAAAAGGCACTAAATAACAGTGATTAAGGACAAAAATAAATGTTCATTTGAAAAGATCTAACCAGTGTGAAAACAACTACTGTTGTATGCATGCTATCTACCTTTGTGCGCACACTACTGTATGCACACAACCTACATTGTTTCTACTTACAAGCCCAAAGAGATCATTATTCCTTTACTACATTCCGCAAACTTGAGTCTCAGAGAGGTTAGGCAATTTGCTGATGATAACTTGCTAGATCTTGAAACATACATAATGTTGGTGCATTTTTTTTACCGAAATGGCATCTTATTTTGTTATTTTGCAACTTTGATCTTTTTCACTCAACTCTTTGCCATCTAGATGTTTTCGTATCTGGACTTAGCAATGCTTGCTGTTTTCACATTTAATATTATCAAGTTTTTGTAGCTCTCGTGTTGCTGTTGGGTAAATCTTGGACTGCTAACTGCAAAGTCTTTGGCTCAAACCCACCAGCTGCTCTGTGGGAGAAAGAAAAGCCTATCTAATCCCTTAAAGCTTTACAGATTCACAAACCCTCTATAGGTCTCCTATGTGCTAGGGATCAGATTCAAATCACTGGCCGTAGGTCTATTATTTTGTTTTGTTTTAGTGAATTGCCTATTAGATTTTTTTTCTATTTTATAATGATATTTTTGCTCATTCACTGTTCTCTGTATTATAAAATAGTCTCTTATTTTTATAACTTTTTTATTATAAGGAGATAGGAATGTTTAGTCAGATATAGATGGTACATTTTTTTAAAGTTCTGAGATAATGAACTAGAACTGAAAGTTCAGATATACTGACTCAGGCCAGATGTGAACATGAGATCTATCTACAATTCTTGGGGTATGGGTGATTCTAACTCTTAACTGTGGTTTAATAATGTAAAATTACTCAAAGGGGCTCTATTAATATGTATAGCTGCTGCTTTTTATAATTTATAGTTCCTTACCTTTTTCTATCATTAAAAAGATTGGTTCATTATTTCTGTAACTTTTAAAAAATGGCAATGTACACTTAAGATTACAGTTTTCATTGAACTTGGTTACTTCTTATTTGCTTTTTATCCATTATCTTCCTTGCCTATTTTGTACAGACTGGCCCAAGCTACCCAGGAAAGAACAGATCTGTATGCAAAACAGGGTCGAGGAAGCCAGTTTACATCGAAAGAAGAAAGGGATAAGTGGATTAAAAAAGAACTAAAATCCTTAGATCAGGCTATAAATGACAAGAAAAGACAGATTGCTGCTATACATAAAGATTTGGAAGACACAGAGGCAAATAAAGAGAAAAATCTGGAACAGTATAATGTAAGGATTGTACAACTATTTTGTGAAAATTTTTCAATAGTAATAGCATCTTGAATTCTGTCTCTGTTGTTTTATTTTTGCACAATTTTACATTCTCTTTAAATTTACCAATCAGGTACTTATTTAGAAAAAGCCCAAACAATTTAACTTATACATATATAGTCATAAAAAAATTTTTTTATTTCCCCATGTCAAGTAGAGATTTATTTTATTCCCTAGAAAAGAAGAATATATTTTGTTCCCTAATGAACTCCCCCCACACTGCCCCTCTCCCCTACCCACAATAAAACAATGTCTGGCAAATAGTATGCTTTTGGTAATTAGTAACTATTTTCTAAATGCATGATTGTCTGCTGCTTTTTCACTTTAGCCAGAGGATATTGGATTTTTTTTTTAATTCAAGTTACAAACAGGCTTCAAAAAGTTTGTGGAAAATAGAATTTTAAAAAAATGAATTTTCCCATGATTACTTTTCAGCCCCTTGTTTATAGTTTATTAACTATTCCTAAAATCACTTTCTTAGACATTTGCTTCTGAGTAGGTCCTAGGTTATAAAATGTTCTTCTGAAATACATAGTGTATCATGTTGCATATGTGCAAAAGGGCAATTTGAAAAATATGCACTGCCATATTTTGAGAACTTTACATGTTTTCCAAATTCTGGGGTGGAGTCGGGGGGGGGGGGCTGTTTAAATATAATTGGTAAATTTTAAATCATTAATGAACAAATTAATTGCATTTTAGTGATATTTCCCAGAGTAACTTACATTTTATACTGTTTTCTGATGGTATGCTTTTTGAAAAGAACATTGAGATTGAATTTTTAAACCATTTCAATGATGTATATTGAAATATAAGAAATTACACATATGTAAAGTATATCATTAAATAGCTTTAAATGAACATAGTCCTGGTAATTCCTCTCTTCCCTGCTTCTTCCCAGGCAACTACTGAGCTGCCTTCTGTCGCTATGAAATAGTTTACGTGAAACTGAAATTTTAATTTAAATTGCTTTATTCCCATAGAAACTGGATCAGGATCTTAATGAAGTCAAAGCTCGAGTAGAAGAACTGGACAGAAAATACTATGAAGTGAAAAACAAGAAAGATGAATTACAAAGTGAAAGAAAGTTCGTATAGACTAAAATATACCCCCCCTTTTTTTTAATAATGCTAGTCATTGGCTGTTATATAATTTTGTTATAAATTAACTGCTCTTAAAAAATTAACTGCTCGTGTTTTATTGCAGTATTTTATTTTAAACGGCATGTTGTTAGTGCATCTTAGTGTTTTAAAATTAAAGACGCTCAATTTTTATTGCTTAGTTACTTATGGCGAGAAGAGAATGCTGAGCAGCAAGCTCTTGCTGCTAAAAGAGAAGATCTCGAAAAGAAGCAGCAACTTCTTAGAGCAGCCACAGGAAAGGTGGGCAAGGTTTTTATTTCCAAAGTTTACAGGGAATCATGGCGTTACCTATTGCTATCTAAGAATTTACTGGCGTTTGAGCTGTGGGTCTGAGTTCCAGGTAATAAATAGAATGCACATCACTTGTCCCATAAATATGATCCAATAGGGATTGTAAATAGCCTCACTACCACTCATACTGTTAATGATAGCTCTTTGTATTTTTCAGATGAAGACCCCCCTTTTAATGTAGGTGCATGTATTTTGCCATATTTCATGAGATGATGTGCTGGAGAGGATGTTTAGTTTATTCTCTGATATATTAAGTATATAGATTATTACATGCTGACTGCGTGAGTGTCATTGGTAATATTACTTTATAATTTCGTTTTTAATGTCTGATAATTTTAACAGGCCATCTTAAATGGAATAGACAGCATAAACAAAGTGCTGGACCACTTTCGACGAAAAGGAATAAACCAGCATGTTCAAAATGGCTACCATGGCATTGTGATGAATAACTTTGAGTGTGAGCCAGCCTTCTACACATGTGTGGAAGTCACTGCTGGCAACAGGTAACTTTCTTTGCATGGTATTTAAAGTTGTTTGAGGGAAGGAATAAGAAACAACTTTGTAGTACAACATGTCTTTATCTTCTTGTAGTTTGGTTCTTTATTGAACTTTCTAAGTAAAGATGCAGTTGCTAAGTATCCCTACTTCCAAAGGGTAAACCTTCCTTTTGAGACAACTTTCTTCTACTCCCATCCTCTACATAGGAATTCTCTAGTTTGTTTATTTTTATGATATAAATTGGTTTGTTTAGAAAAAAATCACCGAATACTTAAATGTTTATACTAGTTTAAACTAGCAATATATGTCTTGTTCTGTTTGCATGTAGGTTATTTTATCATATTGTTGATTCAGATGAAGTCAGTACAAAGATTTTAATGGAATTTAATAAAATGAATCTTCCTGGAGAAGTAACTTTTCTGCCTCTCAACAAGTTGGATGTGAGGGATACTGCCTACCCTGAAACCAATGTGAGTAGCTGTATGTTAAGCTCTCTTTCAACAAGTTACCTCTTCCCATTTAGTCTGTTAGCACATGCTAGTGCCAGGTACTGTATGTGGGATTCAGTGGTGGATGAAAGGAGTGTGCCCTTCTTTCATGGAGCATACTTGGAGAAAGCAGTTTCATCCAAAACATGAAACAAATCAGTGCAACTGTGCAGTGTTAAAAAAAAAAACCAGCATAAGTATAGTCTATTATGCAATTATGATAAGCTTTTTTAAACACCTTTTATGCTTTATAAATTTTTAAAAATATTAATGATATAATAGACTGAAGGAAAAATTCTTCTTTTGTTACTAACGGTACACTGTGTTTTAGAATTTAATTTGTAGCCAGGCTCCCGCCCCGCCCCCTCCCTCCACACACACACACACACACACACTCCCAGGAGTGCAGCAGTTTCCATTTGAACAATTTAATAACATGGGTTACATCTTGAAGCTGGGTAACCGTTCTCACCCTCTTTTCTGGGTTGTTCCTGCTCCATTAACATCATAAACTCTCTGCCCTCTAAGGTTTCTGTGGCATCTCTGGGCTTTCTCTTTGAGTTTGATCTTGTATATGTTCATCAGTCTTCATCCAGGCAAAGTCTTTCAGGGGTTTATCTAGCCTTTGGAGTCCAGGAGAATTTGAAATTTTGTTCAGCATTTTACCTCATTTGATTAGGAATCTTTTACCAAACTGTCCAGCAATGTTAGCCAGGAACCATTCAGTTCTGGTCTTCATGACACAGGAGTAGTTACTCATGCAGGCATCAAGCCGTACATGTTATGTTCTCCCATTGCTGACTCCTTGCTCTGTTACTCCAGGCGAACATAGACCAGTTTGTTACTTGGCTAGCTACTTACAAGGTTTCAAGACCCCTGCCAATATAAAACAAACTCTAGGGGGTAGAGCAGAAGCACTAAACATGTTTACTTGGCCAATTAATTGGATGCCTCATGAAATTATGACACTAAACCTTCAAACCAAGTCATGAAATGCATGAGGAATTTGGTTGTAGATAGTAGTGACTCTTTTTGTTGTTGTCAATATAGCTATCATACAACTGTTGCCTACTTAACTTTCTGCAGGTATACAGCTTACTAACTACACTTAACATGATCAACAGTGTAACCCTACCCAGTAACAAAACAGGTGTTGTTTTCATCACCATAAAATGAAACTAGGCACACTTTAACTGGATTAATAATGTTCTTTAGACATTATTCTTAAAAAAATGTATTGCTACAGAATGTTGATAGCAGTAGTACTGTTTTAAGATCTTCTGAGGTTAAAATATACCCTGTGAAAGAGAAGGTGCAACAATTTAAATAAGAGTGAGAATCTTATAAGTGACTAAAAATTGCAGCCTTTTCATACTTGCAAATCTGAAAACAATCTTGGAACTTTGGGGAGTAAAAAAAGTCGTACAAACATGCAAGTGAAACCAGATAGAATAATGCACACAGTGTGGTTCCATTTAAACTAACGTCATCAGTAAAACTGTGTCAGTGATAGAACTGGAAAGCGGTGGTAGGAAGTGATTTACCACAAAAGCCATAGTAGTGGCCAACTCCAGTAAATAACTTCTGGTGGTAACCACCATGTGATTAGGAAAGGGCTTTTGGAGTGTTGGCAGTGTTTTGTTTCTTGTCCTGCATGGTGGTTTATGTTAGTGTTGTCTTCATAATTACTAATTAAACTTGACACATGTTTATAACCTTTTCTGTATGTAAGATATGGGTCATAGTTTTTTAAAGTTCTACACGTTCTAACAGTTTAGGAGGAAAAGGAGAAATAATTTAAATTTGATACAATTTATAAAATTAAAACATTTGAAGCATACTATCAAGTGTTCTACGTGTATTAAGTCAGTCTTCACAACACTAGGAAGAAGGTACTGTCGTTTTTTGCAATCTTTTTTTTATATCGTTTCATTAGAGGCTCATACAACTCATCACAATCCACGCATACATCAATTATGTAAAGCACATTTGTACATTCATTGGCCCATCACTCCCCAAATATTGACTCTCCACCTAAACCCCTGGCATCAGCTCCTCATTTTTCCCCTCCCTCCCTGCTCCTCCCTTCCTCATGAACCCTTGATAATTTATAAATTATTATTTTGTCATATCTTGCCCTGTTGGACATCTCCACCCACTTTTCTTTTGTCCGTCCCCCAGGGAGGAGGCTATATGTAGATCCTTGTAATCGGTTCCCCCTTTCCACCCCACCCTCCCTCAACCCTCCCAGTATCACCACTCACACCACTGGTCCTGAAGGGTTCATCTGTCCTGGATTCCCTGTGTTTCCAGTTCCTATCTGTACCAGCGTACATCCTCTGGTCTAGCCAGATTTATAAGGTAGAATTGGGATCATGATAGTGGGTGGGGAGGGAGCATTAAGGAACTAGAGGAAAGTTGTATGTTTCATCATTGCTACTCTGTACCCTGACTGGCTCATCTCCTCCCTGAGACCCTTCTATAAGGCATTTCCCAATATTTTGAACAAAGTACCCAATAGCTAGGAAAGGGAAGCAAGTTGTTCAGAGCACGTCTAATGAGTGGTGGGGCCATGATTGCAAGCGGACAACCTGATTCCAGAGCCAATTAACTCTTTTATCATTTGCCTTTCCTAATAGTTACCAGCATATTTTGGTGGCCTGATTGTTATAATGTCCTAAATAAAACCTAACAATTTTGAAATGTAATAAAAAGGCATTTGTGTTTATTTGTAAATTTTGTAAAGATGTCACTTAAATATCTACAAACTTTTAAAAAATTTTCTGCTGACAAAACATTTGTTTTTAGGATGCTATTCCTATGATCAGTAAACTAAGGTATAATCCCAGGTTTGACAAAGCTTTCAAACATGTGTTTGGAAAGACGCTTATTTGTCGGAGCATGGAAGTTTCAACCCAGCTGGCACGTGCCTTCACTATGGACTGCATTACTCTGGAAGGTTTGTAGTAATAATGTTTAGCTTTGAGTAAATAAATTGTAATGAATTATTTAACACATGTAATTTGCCTGATGAGGGAATCTTATATAGTAATTCAAAGTCAAATATGTTTTAAGGGTATTTAAAAACTTAAATGTTTGACTGCTCTGAAACTTTTAAGATTTGATAAGGTTTTCTTGCTGTAATTTTTTCTGTCTATTTTACTGTGCTTTAGTGAAAGCTCACATAGTAAATCGGTACCAGTTTGACAATTTCTGTAGAAATCAGTCAGTGACATTAGTTGTGTTTTCCATAAAGTGTCAACATTCTTTTTCGTTGTGTTCTGGTTGTTCCATTCCAGTGCTCCAGTTTCGCTGCCCTTCCTCCTCTTTGCTTAGAGTATCCCATACATTTGAGTAGAAGCCGAACTGAATATAAGCCGAGGCACCTAATTTTACCACAAAAACTGCATTAAAAATGTGCTGAAAAACTTGGCTTCTACCCGAGTGTATATGGTAATTGTTTCCTTAGGAGGTGCTTTTTTAGTGGAACATCTTACTCATGGAATGTCCTTATTTTGTGTACTGTTATGTTACTTTGCTAAGACAACCTCGGGATAGTTTCAGTTGAGGGTTGAGAGTGTATCTCAGCGTAGCAATCTCAAGGACTTCTCTAGACCCAAACTGGTCTTGTAAGTGAACTAGTTAAGAGATTAAGTTCTGTTCTGTGTTCTTCCATTTTATCACGTGCATCTATAGGGCTGGGAACAGCAGTTAATAGTGCTAGACACCGTCTAGTTCTCTAGTCTCACAGTGGATGAAGCCATTACTCCTGTCGGTGATCAGCCCTCTAGATTACTTTCTTCTCTCTAAGATATTGGTGTTTCTTTAATTCTCCTTTGCTCCTGACAAGTCGAGACCAATAGTTGTATTTTAGATGGCTGCCATATCAGTTGACTGAGTTGTCTCATGAGATTTACGTCCCCAGGCTTCAAACCCAGAAAACCAATCTCAAAAGATTCTTGGTTCTGAGAAACACTAGGAAATGTAACTCAGTAATATCATCTAAGAAGTATCCAAATGCAAATTTACAATTGTCCCAAAATGTTTTTCTGTCTGGTTTCTGGAGAAGGATACATGTATTATGTCTTTAGACATTTTTAATATAGGATCATTTCCCTTATTTCTTCCCCTCTCGCTTTCCATGCCATTGGCTTCATTATAGACCGTCTCATTTTCTGGACTTGGCGTGTTTTTGTCATGATTAGATCTAGGTTTGACATTGTTGGCATGAATAGCACAAGTGATGTGTACTTAAATGCTTCTTATAATGTATTTGTTCCACTATCATTGTTGCTAAGCTTGATTACTAGCAGATCTCTCAGATATAAAGATAGCTATATTTTATAATTAATAATAATAAGGAGCCCTGGTAGTAATAGTGGGTTACATGTTAGTCTGCTATCTGTAAGGTCAGAAGTTTGAAATTTCCATCTTCTCCTGGAGAAAACAAAGTGAGGCTTTATTCCCATAAAGATCAAGATAGCCTTGGAAACCCACAGATGCAGTGGAATATAGGACAGGGTCGCTGTAAGTCAGAATCAACTCAGTGGCAGTGAATTTGGTTTGGTTGAATTTATTATGTAGTTACTGCCTTTGTTATGTATTTGACTATAAGTCTATGTTTTTGAATAAAGTTGTTTTACAGAATTTCTGCTTTGTGATTTTGTTTGTTTTTTAAATAGGTGACCAAGTTAGTCATCGGGGTGCACTGACTGGAGGTTATTATGACACAAGGAAGTCACGACTTGAGTTACAAAAAGATGTGAGGAAAGCAGAAGAAGAGCTAGGTGAGCTTGAAGCAAAGCTCAATGAAAACCTGCGCAGGAATATTGAGAATATCCTTTTGTCTTGTTTAATGATAAATACTGTGGCGAAAAACTGTTTTTGTTTTTTGTTTTTAATATAAAAAAGCATTTATTTTAAAAGCCATAAAATATAATTATTTTTTAAACTTTCTTTAGATCAACTTTCTTTTTTTTTAAAGGTTTTGGTATATTTTCTTTTCTTTTCTTTTTTTTTTTCTTTTTTAACATTTTATTAGGGGCTCATACAACTGTTATCCCAATCCATACACACATCAATTGTGTAAAGTGCATTTGTACATCG